TACGAAAAAGTTTAGAAAAGATTCATAAACCAGAATTCGATTATGTATAGATTTGCATCAACGTACAAATATACATTATACATAATGCTAACAGAGAAACTCAATTTTTTCATTGAACATTTGAGATATTATTTTTTCATTAGGAACTGATAACGACATGAATGAACTTGTTCGAGCATAGTTAACAAGAATAAATTTAGTAATGATATCATTACTAAATTTACGTGGTTAGATTAATATGTAATATGCTCATAGAATAGAAGACAACATAATTGAAGATGGAGTTACAGGTTTAAGAGTGAGCTACAGGTTCGGAGCCACTTACTCTTTTTTGCATATACTCGATTTCAGCAAACAACAGTTCATTCTGCGATTTATTTATCAGAAAGCGATGTTTATTATTTGATGATTTCAAAGGCTTAATTGAAATGAATTCTTAATACATGACAAAAGACGCTACCTTTTTGGATCGAATCCTGCTAATCGCTTTCTCTAACTTAGTTTCAAGATTCTTGAGGTCCTTCACCGGCATATCTGCCAAAGATTCCCCCATAATGTTCCTGTAGAATTGCCTTTTTTCCCCAAAAGTGTTATAACTTTGTGTTCACAAAGATATATTAAGTATCTATATAAGCACTTCTAATTCACAAAGGTACCTGTTCTGGTTTTGAAGATTTGCAATTTGCTGGCGCAGTTTCGCAGCTTCTTGCTGGTAAAACTGTAGTTAAAAGATTATAGAATTTCATTAACGCGCTGGAATAACGTATTAACCTAATCATATCCTGTTAGTTAATTAAACTGCCATAAATACTAATCCCTTCGTTTATCAAAGGCCTATTGAAAACACGAAAAGTTTTCAGCAACATATACAAATTATTCTTGCAAATTTCTTATAAGGTTGCAGGGTAATTAATTAATTAGCTACCAAAGTTGTACCTGAGCATTGGCTTCAGCAACCGAGCCACTGGTAGGTGGATCTAGACATGCTTTCTTGTACCTATCGATTGTCCCTCTAACACTGCAATAACAATAAGACAACCATCAATGTTGTATTTCATTCGACATTCAAAACATTAACTCTACAATTTTTCACTTGTTAACTAATCATCTTAAATAATAAAAAATCTAGCATATATAATTATAGCCTTACAAAAAGTATACAATATGTAACTGATTGGCCCAAAAGAACGTAAGCTGTAAAATCTATAGCAATTGTTATAGTCTTGTGAGTCAACAGGTTAATTTTATGAGTCAAGCTAATAAAAATTAGATATGGCTCATGTAGGTTTGTGTATTTAATTTGGTGTTCAATATTTTCTTGGTTTTGCACAAAGGATAGAATGATGCTCATACAGAAACACATAGATTGAGGTGTAATACTCTTTGTATATGCAAATCTAAAAAGCATTTGAAATAGTAGGATTTGTGTGTGATTTTAAGGAAACACAAAATGTACTTCAGTGAATAAAATCTTACTTTTTCTCGGAGATCCTAAGGATACCATGTAAACTCACATTGTATATTGCCTTAATTTGGCTGAAGTTACTGATTGGTTGTGTCTGCCACGCTGTCAACACTCCCATCATTATGATTGGTTACCATTTTCTACGGATAGATTATTGCCACGTCTCGCTAACCTATTACACATTGGATAATCGAGTCAACTCTCACCCTTTTACCCTCTTCGTAGATCCGAGATCTCTGTTCTTTTTTCTCTCTGTAAACCCTGAGTAAATCAGAGCCGTCCTTTTCATTGCAGTAGACATTGTTGTACGATTTCTCTCTCCCCCATGCGTTAGATAGTCTCTCTCTCTCTCTCTCTCTCTCTCTCTCTCTCTCTCTCTCTCTCTCTCTCTCTCTCTCTCTCTCTCTCTCTCTCTCACATACACACACACACTTGCGAAAGCATTTACCTACGCAGGATCTATGATTAGTGCTCTAAATTTGAGACACACGGCATTATCATTATTTCGTGTAACCTCTCTCTCTCTCTCTCTCTCTCTCTCTCTCTCTCTCTCTCTCTCTCTCTCTCTCTCTCTCTCTCTCTCTCTCTCTCCTCTCTCTCTCTCTCTCTCTCTCTAGGTTGACGTTTTAGTTTGAACAGCATGATAAGCTTGGAAAAAGTTTTTAGTGGACAATCCAAAGGGAAAGAGTAGTTCTTGTTCTATTTCACCATTGAAGAACTTTTGAACTGAGTATAAGAGCTAATCACTCGATAACTTAAAAGTAAAATCTGGGTTTTGCTTTTCTAAATGGAAAAAGTCTGGGTTTTCATTTTTTTAAAAAAAAAATTGTCATCCATGTATGCATTGTTGTTCGTTTATAGAAAAGAAATTACAAAAATAGTGCTAAAAAATTAATTAAAGGGATTTCAAATAAATGTTCTAAACTCTCACCTGGATGATAGAACCTTAATGTACGTCTAATCTGCATTCAGATATAAAATATACTCTTTTCATAAATATAATATTAATAATACCCATTTTTGTTTTTTAATATGCGCAAATAATATTTCTCTTTTTTCTGCGGTGATTTAAGTTTATATTAAACCCTAATTTTAGGATCATTATAAATAAAATCCATTTGATTAGCAATCTTTCTTCAAAACTCCCAAAATATAGAGATATCTGTTCTATTTCATCCAACATTTAATTAACCTAGAGCTCAGGATTCTTGTATGTCAAATCATCTTCAGTTGAAGATGAACTTAACTTGTGTGAAGAGGGTTATCACTTTTTAGGTCAAGGGTAAAAAAATTATATAGGGTTTATTTAATAAATACTATACTGTTTTTTTTTTTTTTTTTTCAAACACAAAGTTCTGAGATTACTGCTTAAACTAGTTTAAAAACCTAAAATTTGTTTTTCCTTTCTTGACTAGACTTTAATGACATCGCTTTTCAAAGTCCTTTCACTTGGCTTTGGACAATGAGTAACTGACATATGTTTATTTAGGAAGTGTCAAACAGATGGATATCTTGAGCAATAGAAACTTGACAACCTCTTGTGTGTGTATGAGAGAGAGAGAGAGAGAGAGAGAGAGAGAGAGAGAGAGAAGAGAGAGAGAGAGAGAGAGAGAGAAGAGAGAGAGAGAGCTGAAACAGTGATGAAGATAAGAGGGAAGCTGATCTCAGACGTCTGCACATACACTTCCTATATCTTTGCTTACTGGTTTGCAACATATCTAATGGTGGCTTCTATGTTGCCATCTATAACAACAGATCTTGTGGGTACCAAAATATGAAACAAAAGATTGGATCTAAAAAGATGAACCACAAAATTATAAATATAAAAAAAATCTCTTTGTGGGAAAGAAACAAAACACAAAATATAAGAGAGACAAGTGAATCTTTGTTCACAAAGAAGAATAAAAACTCAAAAAAAAATAAAATAAGATACATCTCTATAACCTAAAGGTTGTGTCCTTTGTTCTTAAATTTTTACGACAAGTCACATTCATTTTATGTACTATTTTTCACAACCCTAAAAAAATAGATAAACTTTACCCTAATTTTTAGTTGCCATCAAGTATCATTTTATAAAGAAAATAACACGTACCCACAAAGAATTGAAAACCCAACTAACAATTATAACATGATTCAAAAATTTACCCAGAAATTATTTTACCTGTTGTTAGCATACTCATAAAGGCGACCACGGCTTGAGAAGACAATAAGAGCAACCTCAGCATCACAAAGAACAGACAATTCATAGGCCTTCTTGAGCAAACCATTGCGACGCTTACAAAATGTCACTTGTCGATTTGTGGTATTCTCGATCCGCTTGATCTCGATCTTTCCCTTCCCCAGCTTTCTCTGTGGAGAAATGTCACCGGATTCATTCTGAAACGACATGGATCGATCGATGCAACTGAAATCAAGCTCACACGCATCAGAATTTTCCATGAATAACTGAAGTAAATTATACAGACTTCACACTATAAAAACAAGAGATTAGACTTGTTGATTGTTTGAGCTCAAGAAAAAGAATGGGTGGGGTTGAGGAAAGAATTTTTATGTATAATTGAGGAGAGAAACTAATCAAGTTTCAAATTATTCTCTCTCTTGCTTTTTGAGGCCTCTCACACACAATTCTAAACAGGAAAGATGCAAAAAATGGAAGGGGGAGGTGGGTGAAAGATGAGTTATAAAAAAGTAGACAATGACCCTTTGTCCATGATATTAACAAACTCTCTTAATTTTGATCGTTATCTCTTAATACCAAATCCATTTTCTTAAAAAATTTTGGAATATTTATACAAGAAAAACAATATTTCTATATATGGATCTCACTCATCTTCTCTCTTTAAAAACACTATTCAGATTTTCAGTGTTTATAAGAAAAGGTTGAGAGAGAGAGAGAGAGAGAGAGAGAGAGAGAGAGAGAGAGAGAGAGAGAGAGAGAGAGAGAGAGAGAGAGAGAGAGAGAGAGAGAGAGAGAGAGAGAGAGAGACCTTTGAAACTGAAGTGCTCTCTATGATGGGTGAATGAACTTTGGACAAAATTACACTCAATCTATATATCTTAGTATTTGTGATAGGCAACAGTTTGTGAATTACAGGCGGACCCTTTGTACTCCCCCTTTCTTATTACAAACGTTGTCATTTTGACCTTGTAGTCAAACATTTGCCTTCTTTGGTGTTGATTTAACTATGAGATAATCGACAAGATGACCACTTTTATAAACGCATACAACATATTGACAGTCATTTTACATAAGGCCCAAACAAAACAATTTTAAAAACACTATTGTGGCCACCCATTAATTATTCAGAGTGGTAGGATCTTCATAAACCCTAAACATCTTCAAAATAGTACTTCTTAATTAATTAGTATTTCTCTTAATATGGCTTTAAAAACTCGTAGAAAGAAAAAGACCGGGACATGTTTTATTCCAACAGTTCGCACAATGGAAGTAACAACTTTTATCTATAATATTTTGAAACTATACGCAAAAAACTACTTTTTAAGCTCAAATTCAGGCAAATTACAAGTTCAAAACGCTTATAAGATACATTTTTTTTCTTGTTTTTGTGGCTATGTAGACCTTTAAGAATCATCACAACCCATAAATCAATTTTTATAACTAAGAATTAACAAATTTGCACCTCATAAGAACAAGTGGAACACATATGAACTCAAGCACACGTTTGAAATTAATATAAAGTATATGTTTTGTTTATGAAAACCAAGACGAATGAAGACAGTCGTTGAGATGTACTTTAAGTCTTTGAAAAATGATATGAATACCACTGTAGTCTTTACTACCAGCAAATAGAGCTTATGAGCTGAGCTGAAGTCAAGGATGAGTTACACTCTAGCATCCTTAGGCCAAATTGGTTAGTAGGACACTTAACAATAAGGAATTTCTATGGAAAGATCTTTGATATTTATTGACTAGATGATGAGCCACTTACGGATATTAACTGATCCTATTTGTTCCAAACATCCAAGAATATTTCTCTACTTTCCGGTTACAACGATTTTCCTATGAATGATCTAAGTTGTTTCTTGGTTCATCTTTTCATCATTAGGCTCCATACCACTTTAATCATTCCAACCTATGAAACTCTATTTCGGATCATGTGTTTAACGTTATTAACCTACAAGTGGTAAATGGATACCCTTATGGCCTTCTGTTTTGCTAAAGCGAAACTGCTAGTTTTATAACATGTCAAACAATAACTTGTTTCCTATTTATGTCCATAAACATCTCACATTTCCGTCAAAGATCTAGGAATCAATAGCTACTTCTTGAATGATAGCAAATCACATGAAAGATTAGTCTCACACATATACACCTAAATTGGCTTAGAGCTAAGAAGTAGCTAGATACCATTTTGTAGATATTTGGGATCTTGTTATCTCATATAAACAATTGGTAGTATGTCCTTGCACATATATATTGTCTTTCACAATATTTAAGGAAGTTTGGAATATGTTATTCAACCAATGACATTGATATATAGTCCCAAACCCAATATATACATGTAAAAAATTTGTTTGCCATGTTTGAAATTTCAATTTTTACTTTATTAGAAAACTAAGTTTGAACATGCTTTTTGTTAAAAGAAACATGCTTCAAACTCATAAATTAGTTCAAAACTCGGCCATTTTCAAAATATTGTTCATAGTTTTATTTTATCAAAAAGTTGGTTATTAAATTAGTTATGCATCACATTATGAAAAGTAGTCATTTTTTAGATTATCCCTCTACATAGTTCATGGTTTCTTCTATTTCAAAAAATCACTCTAATGTATGATCATTACTATATAAAAAAAGACTTTTAGTAACAGAAAAATATGTCATTGAAATTTCTACGACATATATTTCTATATCGTAAACTCACAACTGACATTTTGTATGTCATAATTTTTAAAATTTTCTTCAAAACATGATAGACATTGTATGACAGACAATATGTATATCATGATATATATATATATATATATATATATATATATATATATATATATATATATATATATATATATATATATATATATATATATATATATATATATTTCTAGATTTACTAGTATTCAAATTAAATCACTATAACAATCGGATCCTATGGCGACAACAAATTCAGACCCTATCCAAAGGATAAGTCGTCGGTATAGGGTATGGCGACGACAAGTCGTCGGCAAATGGTCGTCGGCACAGGCATGCCGGCATAGGTCCATTATGTCGTTGGCATAGATGTCGTGGACATAGCTTCATCTATTGCGACGACATGTTGTCGGTACAGCTTTTGTCAACCATATTTTCGGAAAAAAAAAGTTTTATTAAAAATCTGTAGAGACGACATGTCGTCGGGACACCTATAGCAACGACTAGTCGTCGACAAAGGTTTTAGCTATTACGCTGACATGTTGTCGCTATAGGGATTTTAACGGTTGTCAGTTATGGACATATAGCGACGACTTGTCGTCGGAATAACTGTTGGTTGTTTTTTTAGATTTACAGGTTTTGTAAATTACTATTCCTGTATTTTTAACAAATCCAAAAAACATTGCAGCAAATATCAATTGAAATACATTAACTAGGTACCATTGTTCAAATTCAAAACATTAAATTCAAGTTTAATATTACAATAAATAGTTAACTAACATTGTTCATAATAATAAAAAACATCAACCATCATTGTCATAATCACCTTCTCCTTCTTCTTCTTCTCCCCCTCCTCCTTCTTCTTCTTCTCCTTCTTCTTCCATCCTTTCAGCAAATTGTTGAGAGGTAGTTGTTTGTGTGTTATAGTTGAATAGAAAGTTAGAAAATGATGGTGGTTGGAAGTTCAGAATACATATCACCAATGATGCATTATATTGTTGCAAATATTCTTGCATTTGTTGTGCATCAAATTGGGATTGAGATTGGGGTTGAGATTGTGACGATTTGGAAGTGGAAGGCCGTTCATTTGGATTAAACTGAAGTTGGCGGTTGGTCGTCTACCCACCCCGCGAGCATGTCAGTGTCTCGTCCCAAGGGCACGTTCTAAACATTCTTCCTCATTTACTTCTTCACCTTCCCCAATTTCCTTTTGCATTTTCTCATATTCCTCTTGAATTTTCTCCTAAAATAAACAAAACAATTAACAAACAACTAAACTTAAACATTAAAATAATAATAATAATATTCCTTAAACAAGAAACTATAATTAATAATAATATATTTAAACAACACATTTATTTCGTTTATCACTTACCCAATCTTCTTGTGTTCGACTTGTACACCAACTCAAACCTTCTTTGTAGTGCATTTGTCTTCAAACCTCAATATGTTGCAGCTTGATTCCTATTTTTTCCTATAATAAGTGAAAAAACAATAAATATATATTTGTACAAATGTTAATAACAGTTTTAAATAATACTAATGTATTTTATTACCTCTAAATGACATCATTGAGCATAGGGTCTACATCCGTGAGCAATTGTGTGCGGAAGTTTCGATTTCAATTTCATGAAAACTTATGCATATATACAATTTCAATTTCACTAAAAATTACACAAAAAAAAAAAAAGAAAAAAAAAACTAACTTGTGTTTGTTCTTCTTGCTGTGATGGGAACTCCCCTTGTTAAAACCGATGATGATCCTCCAGTGGTAGCTGGTGGTCACTAGAGATAAAAAAATCAGAAAAAAAATACACCAAAAGTGATTGTTCAAAATCGATGTTGTGTTCATGGAATAAATACGAAGGGTGGTGAAGGAGATAACCTAGAACAATGGGCGTCGGTGAACAACTCGCGGTGGGGAAGCTTCAGGCGGCGAAAGACGGACAGTAGTGCTTCACCACCAGTGAAAACCTATAAACACCAAAAAACCCCAAATTTGGGGTAAAAATCACTAGCACACATCAATATTCAACGAAATAGGAGTAGAAAATGTTTACCTAGGGCTAATCACCGGCTAGTGTTGTTGTTATCAGATTTTTTGGAGAGAAAGAGTTTGTTGCGTCGCTGTACAAATAAACGAAGTTTGCCCGCATTCTTTAGGGTAAACCCCTATGCCGACGACATGTCGTCAGTATAGGCTCAAATAAACGTTGTCATTTTGCTTTTTGCCGAAAAAAAAATAAACAAAAACCTATGACGACGACAAGTCGTCGGGATAGCACTGTGGCGCGGATCGACACGTGTCATGCCGATGACAAGTCATTGGTATAGCATACACAAAACAACATCGTTTTGTTTTTGTGGCATATGGATTAAAAATAAATGGAAAATATACTTTTTTGATACCTATACCGACGACATGTCGTCGGTATAGAATTTCAGCATACCACCAATATTTTTATCGTTCCCGTCACACTTTCTCCGACGACTTGTCATCGGAATAGAGGTAATGGTCAAACTAAATTGGTCAAAGTTCCCAAAATGTATGGCGACGCCTAGTCGTCGGGATAGGGGTACTTTTAGCGATGACTATTATCGTTGGGACAAGTGTCGTCTGTATAGGTTCGTATCCTTGTAGTGAATCACAATAATACAAAGTAAAGTAAATTATCAAGTCACATTTTAACAAAATGATATATTAAGTCATATGTGTATAAAAAAACTAAGGCAATATGACACATTAGTCCAACGATGTTTTTGAAATTTGCCAATCGGACCGTTAACTTTGCTAGTGTTTTATGAGCGCATAAGATCTGTTTTCACCTGCCTATTTGGTCATGTTACCTATTATTACTAGTTTTATATATCAAACGGCTAAAAAAAATTAAATTAAACCCATTTCATTGCTTCTTTGCATCTCCAACTATTGAAACTCTATCCATATTCTCAACATTTTTTAGATTAGTTATACACCAAAAAAAAGCTCTTATTTTGATCCCTACGAACTAACCCAAGAACAAATCATGTAACTTTTTTCTAGCAAGTTTCCACAGTCATGACGTTCTCTAGGAGCTATATGATTACATCTTTCCTTCTAGTCTTGATCCTTTACGCAACTTTATTTCACTTTGATTTGTAAGATATAGGTCTAAGCAATCAAATTGTTCACACGGTAACGAAATGTGACGGAGCTTATATCTCAAACAGTAGTATGCAGGTAACCTCAAATGAAGAGCCATAAAGCAGGCCCGACCATATACTTCGAACCATTTCATATTTGGGACAGCAG